CTTCAGGTACTTAAAGGTATAAGCCCAGTATAACAAAGATTAGAATCAAAGTTCATTACTCAATACACTATTAAATATGAACATTAAAATGGCTCTGTGCTAATAAGAACCAAAATCCCCAAATCACAGCAATACCTAAAGCTAGAAACTGCCTTATCCCTTTCTGTGTTTGCACAAGACAACTGCAGACAACAGCCTGACTACAGTCTGACTACAGCCAGGCTACCAGCTGTCTTGGTAGCTGTAGAGCACCTCCAACCGAAGTGCCCAATAAAGTCTCGCACTGCAGCTCTGAAGATTAGAAGTTGCTGGCTACTGTAGATACGAGGTTTCTGACCCCAAGTGACCAGCCATAGATTAGTGAGTGAGTAACTTCACTGCGTTTTGCACCTTGGCTCCTCAGCCCCTCACACGCTACCCAGTCAGATGGTTTCATCACCTTCCAGAAGAAGTGTGGCTTTGGCGCTGAACCTCCCGGATCCCATTAAAGGGTCCCTGCTGTATCCCACTGCTCGCCTGGCCCAGCCCTGCACGCTTTCCTCCCGCAGATTCCCTTCACAGCCACATTGAATCCTCTTTTCCTTATCAGGCCGACACAGGCCTGCCCCGCGCGCTTCTCCCTGTGACAAGACGAGGAGAACAGGGGGCAGGATCCAGCTGCTCATTGTTTTGCTTCACAAAACCCTGCCATGGGCACAGATTAACACCAAAAACTCGATGGCAGCAGCCAAGGGAACAGGCCTTTCAGAATGCCTCCACGTGACTATCGGAATGACGGTGCGATGGCTACGTGGTTCTGCACCACTATTGTTTCCATGGGCCTCATTCCCACCAAGTTGTCCCCTCAAACAGGGAAAATATGTTTTCTGGGAAAAGCAACCAAACTGCTTTTTCTTAAAGGGGCTGCTAGTGCCTTGAACGTAGGGCTGCTTCGGCACAGCAGTTACTGCTTCAGTGACTTCTATGACCAGTCTAGGGGGAAACTTCTGCTCTTCTCACCTGCCTGTTAACATTAGACTTGACATTTGCGCAAATCCACTTTCCTGTTAAAGACAGGAATCACGAGGTAGGAGTTTCATGCTTAGAAATATATTCCTGTCTACTTGTAGGTACCCACGAACTACTGAATCTTCTGTGATGCAGCAAGGCACAAAGACTTGGAGCCACCAAGACTTGGAGCCTTCCTGGTAAGACTAGTGATTAAATCACGTTGCCTTCCTTGTAGAGTTGAGTTCTCTCAACAGGAGACAGAAAGCAGTATTGTACAAAATTCTTCATGTGTCTGCTTGTCAAAACAGCAAGATTACACTAAATCTCAAACAAAATCTAGAAACATGTCAGTGATCTCTTTTCACTGTAAAACAAGAGAATGAGTTCTGATCTTAGAAATACCTTTCTAGGCTTGAAAAGGTACTCCTGTGCATTTCATTTTCTTGGGGCTATCAACTACTGTGGAACAGCTGATGGAAAGTAGGAGAAGTGGAAGGAGATGGAAAGCAATAACCTCTGTGGCCAACTGTGCAGGCAGATACAAACTATGCATGCAGCTGAGAGCAGGACAATTTTGGCAGATTGGCAAAATTACAGGAACAGATCATTAGAAGTATCTAAATAGGAGATCTAACACTCTAAATATAATAAAAGTATCTAAATAGGTATCTATAAATGTTTAATAATGATATAAGGAGTCCTTAAGTTCAGATTGAAATGGGAATTAAATGCCTAGGCAAGTTTTAAGGTCCAATACTCACTCTTTGTTCTTACAACCAACATTCTTAAGAATTCTGGTGGCTGCATGCAGATTGTTTCATCAACAGTCACAGTAATGCAATGGGGTATACAATTTCATAAGGGGTTTGGATCACTCTGTAATTCATGAATGTTGGCTAACTCCTTGATGGCAAAAATTAAGAACTTTACTAGTCACTGAGCTATTTCAAGTCTACCATTAAGTTTGAGTATTCTGCAGTCCTGATACGGACCTCACTCTACCACATCTCCTAACAATGCCACGGCACTGCTAATGAAGTCACAGCTGCTATTCCTATTGTGCTTGTGAACAGCACTTAAATCATTTTTGTTCAAGGTACCCAACCTCCCACTACTCTGAGATGTATATTCTTAATATACTTCAAGACAGAAACTTGAAAGATCTAAAAAGTATTTGACATCTGGCACGGTGACTCAATTAATTATCGTGCTGAATTAATTAGCTTGCTTCATCTCCTGAGCCAACAGCGGTGAAAGTGTGTTCAGCAACACAGCATTGCTTGAAATAAGAAGCATGGGATAACAGGATCTTACATGTGCAGGCTGTATATAGTGCAGAGTACAAGGTTAGCAAGTAAACTGTAACTGGTGTGGGTAGGTAATGAATCCTGTGAGGCAGTGTCACATTGCTGAGACTAAACGGTGAAGTCAGGCAAGATACTTGTAGTCAACCACAAACATATATTACAATAAAAAAAACAGCTGCAAAAGTTGTGATATTTACTCACCTGCGGTTCCCAGAATTTTTCCTTCCTTTCCTCTCTATACCAAAAATTCATGTTAAAGCTTTTTTCCAAAAATCATTTGATGTCTATAACAGTGCAACAGTTCATTCAGAAATGAACTAAACTTGCTGTCAGCTGCTGATGTGAAAGTTTGATTGAATTCTAGGGAGGTGAGGCTTTACCCAAATGAGCTTTACAAAACAGATATAAATACCTTAAGTAAACAAACACAACTTCCCTTATGAACAACAGAGAGCATGTATACTAGTGAGAAAAGTAATAAAATGTGTCAAGCAAACAGAAAAATCATAAATGAACCAGAATCGTTTCAAGAAAAAAAAAAAAGATAAAAGAAACTACGTAGAAGCTGGCACTGGGTTTGTGTTGCTTGAACAGTAAATTAAAGTTCTATCAAAAGGTTTACATTTCTTCACACAGCAGTTTAAAGTAACAAATGTAGGATTACAGGAAACATCTGATATTCGGGAAAAAGAAAGAATACTTAGAATCACAGAATAATTCACGTTGGAAGGGACCTCTGGAGGCCAAACTCCTGCTCAAAGCAGGGCAAACTTCAAAGTCAGATCCAACTTCGAAGTTAACCCAGATTGCTCAAGATCACATCCAGTTCAGTTTTGACTATCTCAAAGGATGGAGTTGCACAGGGGGCAAACCAATATTGCCGAGGACTACAATTCTGTTTACAGGAACTTTTTCAGATATCCAGATGTATTTACATTAGTAGACAAAACAAATGTAATATCTTTCAGGTGTTAGCAAAAATAAACTTTACGGTTTTTTAATTTGACAAGAAACAAATTAGTATCTTTCCAGTTTAGTGAGAAAAAAGTCATGAAGATTTTCATCCCACATCTCTCTGCACTGGGTTGATAAAGTTGTTCCATCCCATTATAATCACCAAACTGCACTCACTGCTTAATTATAAGTTCATTAAAAACAAGTATCTTAGCTAAATGCTCTTGTTACAGCAAAAGCTGTATTTGCCCAAATTTGAAAAGTAGTAACAGACCTTAATATATGCCTGTGCTACCAAAGGAGAAGCAATCTCCTGCTCTACGTTTTCTGAAGAAAACAAAAATGAAACTGTATGATTAACTGCATATTGCAAATTTATCCTAAGAATATCTGATAACGATAACATCTGGAATGAAGGGTCAATCAACATTGTCTCCCATACTCAAGCATTCTCATCAAGTCTTATATACCTGAGGAAGTGGTGCAAGTGGACAGGCAATGGGGACATTGTATATAGTTCAGACTAATTCTCTGAGAATATCTGGAAAGGTGACCCTGTATTGAAAAAAGCAACAAATATCTCTAGAAAAAGGGGTTCCCAATCTTGGAATGTGCATCTTGAAAAATGCATTTCAGCATTTACAATGTGGTTCAAACATTATCAGTGGGTGTTCCTTTCAAGGACTGAAGCCCTGTAGATGCCAAGTACAGGTGTCAGAGTTTAAAAATGTAGGTGTCTGCCTTAGCAGGTTACTCTGAGTAGCTGTGCTAAATATTTTAGCTCCACCTCCTCCCTCCAGTCTGCAGGGAAACCTGTGTTCCTTCAGAAGGTGATTCACTAGGATGAGAGGAACAGCCTCAAGTTGCACCAGAGGAGGTTTAAATTGGATACTAGGAAAAATTTCTTCACTAAAAGGGTTATCAAACACTGGAAGGGGCTGCCCAGGGCATGGTTGAGTTGCCATCCCTGGAGGTATTTAAAAGATGTGTAGATGTAGCTTGTGTGTAGACACAGCTAAGTGATGGGCTTGGCAGTGTTAGGTTTATGGTTGGACTTGATGATCTTAAAGGTCTTTTCCAACTTAAATGATTCTATGAAATAATACTGAAGCTCAGACTTAAAACCAATACAAACAAAAATGAAATGAAGACATAGGAATGCCATGATTTTCAGTGCACTAAACTGAGACTAGCACAGCATTATTTTTAAGCAATATGGTCCAAATACTTTCTGCAATTCGAATAAAAAACAAGGCTAATTGAGAATATATTATGACAGGTGCCTTTTGATGTCTTTCAAAATAATTTTAATCTGATGGAAGAACTTGGTATGTTCAGTAACATTAAGAAAAATTTCATTATTTTCATCCTAAAATAATGGAGCTGTTTATTTTCTATACTATCCGGTAATATAAATTAAGTGTTCAGCAATTAATGCTACGCAAAATTTAAAAAGCCACTAAAAAATCAGCTATTACTGCTGAAATGCAACAGCTTGGTTCAGCAAACAAGGAAGTGACACGTTCCTTCTTCTGTAAAATAACAAGTTTAATACTATTAACCTGTGCTCCAAATAACTTTACGTGGATGGTTGCCATAGATGAACTAATTGGAAAAGAGCCAAATACCACTGTCCGCGAAAGCTAACAATGGCTGTTTTCAGTGCTCCAGCTGAGTAGTAATTCAGGCAATTCCCTGAAGGATGACACATAATATAACGAAGCGAAGCATCTCGGAGTGTCTACATACCAAGGTGTTATTATTCAGATCCATCTTCCCAGCGAAAGGCCCCCATGTTGTTCCAACCGGAAGCTGCTGCCGGCTCTGAATCTTGCGCTCCCCGTCTTTCTGGACCACCTCCAACTCTCCTGCAAACAAAGGAAACAAGCAGTGTTGAGAGTACTTTCACTTGTGCCTTGACAACAACCACCTCTGCCTTTGTGCCGGCTTTATACACACAATGTTCTGAGGACCCATACAATGAGAATTAATTATGCTCGCCTGAAAAACAACCGATCTTGTCATCCTGCAAAAGGAAAACAAACCTTTTTCCCTTATAATTATATTCAAATTTGGTTTAGAAAGTCCCTTTCCTTTCTTGCATCTTTTCACAGGCATTCGAGTTTGAAGGCATTTTTATTCACAATAGCGGTTTCATAAAAGTTCTGAAGAAATGCTGAGAAGGGGGAAGAAGCTCAAAGGCAGGGTACCACAGCACCCACACCTGATGCATTAACCTCCTTGATGCATTCTGCTGTCACAAGTCCACATTCTGAAGCACTCAGGTACTAATAATTTAGAGACATAACATACAGAGATATAAACCCACAATAATGGTACTAATTTTGAATGAACTACTAAAAACAACTGAAAAAAGCATTTTGAACCAAGTGAGGTTTTACAGGCAGTAACATTTCAGAATTAGACCCAAAATTATTTAAATTGTTAGCCTGAGGTTTTAACACAAAATACCTAAAAGCAATGGAGAGGTCATATAGTGATTTTTTTCTTCTTAGTGTGTACTAATTTGTCTTTTTTTTTTTAAAGCAAATTTTATTTTTTAAAAGTAAGGACTTCAAAATCAGCACTTAAAAGTGAAATTGTTACATCAGCTCACTATAACTTTTCTGGGTTTTGCTCTGAAAAGAGAAAGAATAATGCACAATTGATCATTACTGTGGAAGGAAAAATAAAATTCAGTCACCACCTTTCTTCTCAACATTTTTTTCACTTCACTTCAGGATTAAAAAAATAGTTTGGATAATCCTTTGAAAGCAGTCTCTTCAATAAGCCTATTTTTCTATGAAATAATGTTTCAGTTTAAAATGTACCAACAGTTATGTTTATATACACAATGTCTACCATTCTTTTCTAAAACAGTTCAAATACATTCTGTTTTCAAACTTTAAGAGGGATAAAATGGAACAAGGAGGAGGGGTTGATCTGTGCTTTTCTTGTTAGACATTTAGCTGAATTTTCACATACTATTGCACTTCCAAGCTTTGGCCTTCCCGAAGGTAGCCAGAAATTCTGTTGTTGTCACAAGCAGCAGAGCTCACCTTACCCCCGCTGTAGCCAGGATTTCTCCTGCCTATTAAAGCCCCTTTCTTCCCTTTCCATACCAACAGTAACTCCTGCCTTTTGCATCAGCACGTCCCTTCTACCCCAAATCAGGACGGTGCTTTTCCACAAACAGGGGAATATCCAACTGTGCAAGGAGTCAACTCGTCCCAGATTTAGAACTGGCAGTTGTTGTGAAACGAACCTTGGGCCGGAGGAAGTGAGTAACTCCTCCTGGCGTCCAGGCAGTCTCCACAGACTTCCCCGAGCTAACCATTCCCCTGGATGCCTGGATCTACGCTACAGCCAGGCTGCAAAGTTCTCCCTCATCCGCAGGGGTTAATCTCGACCGTTTTCCAAAAAGAAGACTTGGCTCCAGCTTCCATTTTCAAGCACAGAAATCTGAATTTCACCTCTGAGTGTTGCAGATTACAAAACTACTCTACGTAAAATTGTGCATCAGATCCTTCCTGCAAACTGGAACAAATCTAGGAAATAGAGCTGTATCAGTTTACAAAAGCTTCTATGTATGCGGGCGAGTCCCCATTGTGACAGTGCTATGACATTTTAAAAGGCAGTATGTGAGCAGGAAAGCTTATGGATTAATTACATCTAATTTACACATGTGACATACATGCATCCAAACTCGGGGCGGGGGGGAGCTTTTCTCCCTCTCCCAGTCACATTGTTACAAATTGTATTAACTTTAAAAAAATCTCTTTATATGTTAATTATGGAAGAGAGAAATCTTTCTGGTATTGCAAGGTAACATGTTGATCACTTTGGCACACTGCAGCGTTTTCTCTCTACATAGAGATGAAAACTGTAGCATTTGCTTGCTTTTAGACACTAAAAAACAGCCATGTCTATGGACATGTCACATTTAACTGATACCAGAGGAATCATGAGAATCTTTGAAAACCCTTTTAAAAAATAATTCAGCCTCCCTTTCTGCCACTGACATTTTTCATTTGAAAAGGGTTCAGACACAGTCAAACAGTGACTCCTTATCTGTACCTGTGGATTTACAAGCAGGCCTGTCTTTTAATGGATTAAGAACGACAAACTTAGGGCAGATCATCCAGTGATATCCGAAAACCTACCTAACTTTTAAGGTACACATCATTACACTTTATGTTAAATTAAATTAATAACATGGATCTTACACCTAATAAGTAGTTCTGGTTTGAACCAAACAGAAAACCAAGCAATTATTTTCCAAAACTGTATTTTTTTTCCTCCAGTTGATAATTTAATAAGTTAATATGGATTTTTTTCTCTCTTTTATTCGCTTTTGTTACAGTCCCAAGTTGTAGTTTGGGCAATACATTTCAATATGTATGAATATTTTGAAATGTACTACACATGGGGTAACATCACACTGAATTGCTCTGAAGCAGCTGTATTTCCCCCCCTACTCAGAACACCGTGACAGAGGCGCAGACTGCATATGGGGCTACAAAACATTTTGCTCCATAAACTTCCTGTTTCCCTTAATCATAGTTCTCCAAAAAAGCTGCATTTATCTCTGGTCATCATGACCAGCAGCCATTTTAACTCTATGTGTGAACATTAGGTTGGGAAGCTACTGGTATGTTTTGGCAAACACAGATATTTTGGCTACGCTTGTACAAGGTGTAGCACGTTGCAATTTGATTCTCGGCAAAGATTTTTTTTTTTCCTCTGAAAATCTTTGCTAGGGGAAAAATATTAACACTAAGAGAGCTGTAAGTTAAAAAAACACTGCACATCAGGGTCCACAAGCATCTGTGAAGATTTTTTTTTTTTCCTACCAGAGCCTGCATCTTTCGTAAAATCCCTGCATACGTTCCTTTGTCTGCCCTGAGCAGGAAGGCCAGGGGCTCGTATGAGGGTTTATAGAAGAAAGATTACAAATGTCACTATTAAAAATCCTCTCCTGAATTCCCCTGACCCCGCAGTAAGGAGCCTGCAACTTTCCTGCATTCATTTACATTTTGCTCCTCTGAAATTTCCTATTTGGTGAGTGGTATCGAACCCACAGCAACAGATGGGGCTGGTCACCGGCTGACAAGAACGGGGGATGTCCCCTGCTCACCGCTGGCTTCCTATGGGGAGGCTGGTTTAAGCGGTGCCATACGCAACTTGTGACCTCAAGGGAGCTTGCTGGAAAAAAAGAACCTCACCCTGTTACTCTTAATTGTGTCAGCAAGACACGCTTTCCCCCTTCAGCCTCAGAAGAAGTTCTGATGTAAGTGCTCTCTGCAGCTCCCTGCACAACTGCTCAGCATCTTCACAGATTACATCAGGAAAGGGAAGAGGAGTGGAGATTTTATTGCCATATCACCACTTGCAGGAAGAAGTGTAAAGACTCAGCTGGTACTGACTCTTCAGAGGTGCCTGTCCATGGAGATCCCAACGAGCAGGGAGGAAAAGGAAAGAAAGGATGAAAAACCGCTGCAGCTTCCTTTAATCTGCACTCCAGCCCAAAGGAAGCAGAAAATTTCGTGCCAAACACTGTTAGGAGTTTCTAGTGATCAGCAACTGCAACAGACCACCTCAGTACTGAACGCTGAACATAACGTTCCTTCACGTAATAGCAAACGCTAGTGTACAGAAATCATACACACCCCTGGGATTCATCGTTCCTATGGCAAAGCTGAGAAACAGTTGTATTTTGCTGCTTTCATCCTAGACTTGTCAACCCTCTGATTGAAAAGGACAGCAAGGAGCATAGCAGAAGCAGCCCTAAGAAATGCAACTAAAGAGAAAGTGACATCCTGCTTTTAGTTTTTGTGAGTTAGGGAAAAAAAAATTATTTAAGAGACATTTAATTTTGTAATACTTATTTCCCTTTTCCTTGCTACAGAGCAAGTATTTTTTTCAGCTTGTTCTTCAGGAACACACTTATTTCCAGCTTGCTGAGTAAGTTTATACAAAATATTTGAGACACATAGTATGGGCTAATCAATTTTGGTAAAAGATAATGCTGTTAGTGCTGTGGGCTGTTTCTCTTATCTTGTTGATGTAGCATACTTTTAAAGTCTGTGATTACTCAAAGACTTATGATAGCTGCACTGTAAAAGAAGCCCCAAGTCATGACTCACTAGTACAGCTACAAAACATCCCATGGCTTTTAAGATATTAGGCCACCTTGGTGGATACAAAACCAGAATGAAAGGACTCAATTTAAGGTTCTTTTCTTACATATACATATTGTTTCAATAATACCACATAGGGCGTGCATAAAAGAGAAGGTAGAAAGGTCAGTTTAGCTTTGTCTTTTTTTACAGAAAAATCAGAATAAATAAAAAAAAAACTCCACAAAACATACACTGCACACAGGAACCCAACAACAGCTTTGGCCCTTAATATAATTTGACCACAGTTCGAATACCAGAAGAATTCAACTATACATGGTATTTCTGAGCAAAATAATACTGGTTTTCATCCATCTACCATCATTCTGGAATAAGAATTAAAGGAGTGTGCAGCTGAAGGTAAATGATGAACAGCTCTTTGGGGAAGAAAAAGTGAACAACTTCATTCAGAAATAAGTGTATCCAGATTCATAAATGTTTAACATTTCTAAGCAAGTCACTGATAACTTCGGCAGTAGGGTTGGGGTTTTTATTATCAGCAATAGCATTCTAAGTAGAGTCAGTTAAAAAGAATGAGTAAGCTCTTCCTCTGCTATAATTAGAGATTGGTTATTTGACATGATGGCGCTCTACCAATTTCCACTAGCAAACAGCTCCTTCTTTGCATATTTCCAGTGCACAGCCACCTGGCTCTCCAATGAATATTTCTGCGTGGCAGAGAAATCATA